ATGTGAGGAGTAATGTAATCTGTCTAGAATCTAGAATTTTTTCTAGTGCCTGTTTACAGATTTCTTGGTGTCTTACTTAGAAAACTTGTATGAGTGTGTGTGTGTTAAAGAGGGGTGCCTGGGAAACCATACTTCGTCTCCCCAAGATCCAGACCTTCACTGAGCAAGTTATATTGAAAGGCCCAGACACACATAGCTGGGAGAGTTTAGCGTTCCCCTGCAGAGAGCGGGGGTTTTCTTAGCTGGAGCATGGTAACCAGGGCAGCGAGAATCTCTGGAGGCTGGTCAGAGGCTAACCCAAACAGCTTTGCTTAATTCAGGGCTACTGCTGGGGGCTAGGGGGAGCGGCTGGCAGAGAGAGGCGTCTGACATTCTTGCCTGCTGACATCAAGCTACAAAACTGCTGCCCTCTGGTGAGTCAACGGCAAAAGGCCCACATCGTCCGAGATCAGCTGACCAATCAGAGAAGATGGTGCCACACCTCAGAAATCTTTCCAACCCTCAGCATTCTGCAGCCTTCAAATAGTTCCTTCCAAAGAAAGAATGCAGAAATGATTAAACTCGTAAGCAGCATAGAATCTACAATAATTACAAGATAAACTGCATGTTCACTTTTAAAGTAATTTAGGACAGCCAGCACCCTGGTTTTCACTCATTTTAAAAGTATTTAAATGTTTCCTTTTATGCTGAGGCGAGAGGGCATACTGAAGGACCCACTGGGGCTTTGAGGTCTTCTGGATATTAAAATTGAGATGTGCTGGAATGACATTGACATCCTTGGCTGGCATTAAGTTCCAATTGGAACTTAACCAGCATATCTAGATTTTTTAGTGTTAGAATTTTATGTATATGTTTGTATATATGTAAATTCTATGGTGAAAATGAAAATTAAGTGTAGACTATCTCTTCTCATCTTATTTTTTAACAATTTATTTATTTTATTCATTTGGTTGCATCAGGTCTTAGTTAAGGCTTATGGGATCTTAGTTTCCCAACCAGGGATAGAACCCGTACCCCCTGCACTGCAAGCTGGATTGTTAACCACTGGACTACCAGGCAAGTCCCCTCTTCTCATCTTATTAAACAAGTTTGTATTGCTGTTTAGTAATTCCTCTCAATTTCTCTCTGTTGAGCAGAAGTCAGTGGGGGAAATATCATGCACGAGGCCAGAGGTGAATTATTTGCTTAGTGCAGCACAAACCTGCCTGTTGGCTAAGAGCAGAGTCCCTTCCACAGTGTTGCCACCATATGGCACTAGCATATTGTGGAGTCCATAAAAGGGACTGACATTGTAAAAGATTAACTGGTTTTATTTGGCAAGGTCAGGTATTAGCGGGGGTTTTCTTAGCTGGAGCATGGTAACCAGGGCAGCGAGAATCTCTGGAGGCTGGTCAGAGGCTAACCCAAACAGCTTTGCTTAATTCAGGGCTACTGCTGGGGGCTAGGGGGAGCGGCTGGCAGAGAGAGGCGTCTGACATTCTTGCCTGCTGACATCAAGCTACAAAACTGCTGCCCTCTGGTGAGTCAACGGCAAAAGGCCCACATCGTCCGAGATCAGCTGACCAATCAGAGAAGATGGTGCCACACCTCAGAAATCTTTCCAACCCTCAGCATTCTGCAGCCTTCAAATAGTTCCTTCCAAAGAAAGAATGCAGAAATGATTAAACTCGTAAGCAGCATAGAATCTACAATAATTACAAGATAAACTGCATGTTCACTTTTAAAGTAATTTAGGACAGCCAGCACCCTGGTTTTCACTCATTTTAAAAGTATTTAAATGTTTCCTTTTATGCTGAGGCGAGAGGGCATACTGAAGGACCCACTGGGGCTTTGAGGTCTTCTGGATATTAAAATTGAGATGTGCTGGAATGACATTGACATCCTTGGCTGGCATTAAGTTCCAATTGGAACTTAACCAGCATATCTAGATTTTTTTAGTGTTATAATTAGAATTTTATGTATACGTTTGTATATATGTAAATTCTATGGTGCAAATGAAAATTAAGTATAGACTATCTCTTCTCATCTTATTTTTTAACAATTTATTTATTTTATTCATTTGGTTGCATCAGGTCTTAGTTAAGGCTTATGGGATCTTAGTTTCCCAACCAGGGATAGAACCCGTACCCCCTGCACTGCAAGCTGGATTGTTAACCACTGGACTACCAGGCAAGTCCCCTCTTCTCATCTTATTAAACAAGTTTGTATTGCTGTTTAGTAATTCCTCTCAATTTCTCTCTGTTGAGCAGAAGTCAGTGGGGGAAATATCATGCACGAGGCCAGAGGTGAATTATTTGCTTAGTGCAGCACAAACCTGCCTGTTGGCTAAGAGCAGAGTCCCTTCCACAGTGTTGCCACCATATGGCACTAGCATATTGTGGAGTCCATAAAAGGGACTGACATTGTAAAAGATTAACTGGTTTTATTTGGCAAGGTCAGGTATCTGGATGGCATGCTATAAAATGGTTAGAAGAGGGAAGGGAATCTGCAGTTGGAGGCCACCTGAGATTTTGGCACTGGCTTTCCTTACAGTCCTGCCATCTGATTTGGATTTCAGGGGTAAAAAGTTTTACTTAGTCAAGTGAGGATGCTCTCTGCATGGCTGTGGTGCTACAGCAACACTAGGAAGAGAAAGAAGAATTGGACTGGAAGAAAAGCATGCACTCAGCACTAGGACTGCTTTCCACAGGGTGGGAGATCTCTATCAATTTTTCCTCTCTGCTGTGTGGACAAAAAGAGTTGAAGGGAGGCTAGATTATGCATACTTATTCACTCATTTGTTCACTCATTTATTCAATTAATAAAAATATTTCTTGCATATCCTAGGTGGCAAGCATGAGAATATACTGTTCTTTTTCAAAAGAGGAAGCAGAGAAAGAAATAGATAATTGCAATTAAATACATTTAGTTTTCTAATAACAGCAACATGTATTGAACTCTTATTAAATACCAGGAACTTTGCTTGGCACTATAAACCCTTAGATTACCAATAAAGGGGTTTGGTCATTACTTCCTTTTGGAGGATCAAAGGTTGAAGAGATTAACTCCTACAGCTTGGAAATAGTGAACCAAAAAAATTTAAGCTTAGATACTTTGACTTGACACTTGGTCCTTAACCACACATTTCCAGATTTGGGGAAAGATGACTAAAACTACAACAAAACTACCCTACAATGACTCTTGAATGCAAAATAACTCTCTAAATGAGGATATAGTTGGGCTGGCTAGGGCGTTAGGGGCTGGTGGTGATTAGTAGGCAGAGGCAGCTGCATATTTGAAGGCCATGGGAGATGTGTTGTCAGGGGAAATGAAAATGATTAAATAGTGTTGGAGGTTTCTGTGGGCAATCTGGTTTTTTTATTGGTGCATAACAAAACATTCCCAAACTTAGTGGCTTAAAGAATCATGATCATTTATTTAGTTCACAGATCTGCAAGTTGGTCAGGGTTTGGTGGGGACAGCCCCTTTATAGTCTATGCAGTGATTGCTGGGGCTGCTTCAAGTATGCCTGAACAACTGGGGCTTCTTAAGAATTTGAATCTTTCCGTGATCACTTCATGAAGTGTCTCAGACACAGCAGCTTCAAGGAACTGAACTTACATGGAAGCCTAGGGTTCTAAGGTGTGTGCTCCAAAAGAGACTGCCAGATGGAAGGCATGTTGCCTTTTATGACCTAGCCTCAGAAATCATATAACCTGACTTATCCCAGACCTCATTAGTTGAGGCAGTCAAAAGATCCTGCCCAGGTTCAAGTGGAGGGGACACAGACTGGACAAATAGCAAGGTTCTGGAAAAGCATAGGGACAGAAGTACTGTTGCAAACTTTTTTATTTTGGGGGGGTGGTGGGGCGTAAATAGAGGAGGATAAAAGGCAGCATAGTTGGTCCTAAAGAGTAGAGTTGGATTATGATGGGCTTGGATTTAATGATGGGCCTCACACTTATTAGCTGGGTAACTTTGGCCAAGGTACTTAACTTTCTTGAGCCTCAGTTTTCTCATCTGTAAAATGAGGAAGCTAGGACTGATCTTACAGAATTACTAACGGTTAAGAATATATGTAAATCACTTGGCATTGGGAGTTGGCACATATTTCATAAGACCTGTGATTACTGATGGGCTAGTAGCAAGAGAGAGAATTGCAGAGGGAGAAGGGGTCATGTGGGGGGAGGCTTTTCATAGCTAATAGTAAGCTGGTGAAACTGTAATAGTACTCATAGCCCAAAAGTTACTGAAAACTAGCCACAGTGCTAAGCTCTTTCAAAGGCGTATCTCACTGAATCTTCACAACAAACCTATGGTGAAGGACTGTTGTGACCCCATTTTATAGATGAAGATATTCAGGATCAAAGAGGTTAAGTAATGTTCCTAAGTTGGTAAGTAGCAATGACAGGATATGAATCAAGGTGATTGTGTTACCAAAGCCTATACTAGGACAGTTGGGATTTTAACCTGAAGGCTTTTGGAAGCTACTAAAAATTTTTAAACTTGGCAGTCCTGTGGTCAAAGTTGCTCCATAGACATCAGCATGGAAAACAGGAAGGAACATTTAACAGATGATTGCTCTAGTTCAGGTGAGAAATACTGAGACATGTAAAATATTGAAGATAAAAGTAGTGTGGGAGACATGAGAAGTGGAGGAGGTCCTATGAAGGTCGTGGCAGTCGGCCTTGATTTTTGATTGGATGTGAAAGAAGGAGAGGGAATTTCTGTTATCATTCGTCAGCCCTGAGTGCAGGCACCGGCATGTGCGTTATTACTCAGGGCTCTAAGGAGAGAAAGAAAACAACCCCCCGGGTGCCTTCTAACCTAAAGCATATTTCCTAAGTCCTTCCACTCTCAGTCTAGACTGAAAACAAACAAAACAGACTCCTCTTGAAGCTCTCAGATCTCTCACCTTGCAATTCTAGCTTTCAAATTCCACGCCAAGCTTCCTTTCCCACACCCTAAACCCTTGTCCTGGGGATTACAATGATCGTTTGTGTGTACTAGGTGATTGTTCCTTCCACATCAGGGGCCTTGGGAGGATGACCTAAGGCTGCTTTCTCCTGTCCTTACTTCCTCCACCCAGTGCTGTAACGACACATGCAATCAGCTGGTTGTTATAAAGGATGCTGACCAGTGCTGTGATGTTGTCTTCAGGAAGCAGGGGGATCTCCAAACAAGGTACTTACTGACTGTGTCATTTAGCTTCATGTGAATTTCCTTTAGAGGGACAATATGTGCTTTGAAAGACAGAGACAGAATATGTGTCATTAGATAAGGCATTCCAGGTCTCTGATTAAGGACTTTTATCTATCGCTGGGTCAAGGTCTGAGAAATAAACTGGCCCTTGATGAAAACTAAAACAAGTGAAGAAACCAACAGACAACCCCCTCAACCTAGTTTTTCTGTATGAAAACATGTCTTTTCAAATTACTTCCTTAAAATTGGAATAATTTTTGAGATTAAAAAATATTGCCATAATCTTTTGTGATAGATGTATTTACTCTTATTTACTTGTTTGTGTCGCCTCCTTCTCTGTTTCCTTTGTAATAGGATTAATTTCTGAAAAGTAACTTTATTCTGATGCCACATTTTGAATAAATTACTGCCTCTCTCAATGAACAATGGAGGCTGGCATTTGACTGAACAGCTTTTGTCCACTGACTAGTACATTTAGGTATAGTGGGAGCTCCATTTAACTCAGTGTTTCTGACAATAAATCACTTGAGGAGAGAGGATTGCTCTCATTGTTTGAACACTTGTCTATGCACATTGCTTGGTCATTTACTAGATAGTTATTAAGTCTGCCATTTGTTGTCAGTCACTGAAGGTGTAAGTTAGCACAGGTGTACCAGCGCGTGAGGTCACTAGCTGCACACACAGTTTGGTCACAGTCTTGCTTTAGGATCTCCAATCTCTTCCCTTTATAATCAAGCAGGGTTCAACTTGGCTTTGCCCACTAAATTATTCCTTTCGAGAAATCATCCACTGTACCTCAATTACAATTTAATGTTTTTTTATTTAAAAAGAACAACAACAAAAAAAATTAGCTATTTTATGATTTAGAAACTTCCCCTAAATGGGAGTATCCAATGAAACATTAAATTGGTGAATGGCAACTAGTGAACAACTAATGCGGTCAGACTTTCTTGTTAGGAAAGTATGAAAGTATGTTATTATGAGCACTGTAGAGTGGCAACAGATTAGAATATAAAAGTTAGAGAAGGGTCTAGTTTCTGCTTAGAGGTCTTTTTGATTGTTTAATAAAAAGCTCCCAAACCATCAAACATCAGACAACAAAAGGCACATTTTCATAATCTAGGCAATTTTCCCATTAATTAAACCTTATGTTTAGGGGATTACTTTTCTTTTGTCCCAGAAGGAAACCTCTTGCTTGGGACAGCTTCAACAGTTTAACCACATTTTCCAAGCATATAGGGCAAATAAGAGGCAATCATTCATCGGTTATAAAGATAAGCCAGGGAATGGGAATACTTTTGTAGGTCACGTCACCTGATAGAAACTTTGGACTGATCCTTTCCTGGTTCAAGAGTTCAACTATAAGACCTACTTTCCCTATCAGCTGGCTCAGGCTGATAAGGTCCTGAAGTAAGCAAGATTTTTTATGACTTCTATTTAATTGTCTGTGTGATATAGGGTTGGGGGTTAGTCTGCACAGAGTTACTTCTCATTGGTCTGTTTTTCTTTTGAATAAATCATGGTCTCCCTGACTGGACAAGGTACAAGCCGTTTGAGTAAATACTTTGCATCAAATTTCTATTAGCCAGTACAGAGCCTTTATCCCTAACAAGTTTCCTGTAATTACTATTGAAGAAAATAATTATAAACTTAGCCTTAGATTGTTGATTGGTTTGGGACAAACATAATTCAAGAGCAGAATAAGTAAGAGCAAGTATTGTATTGTATATGTCCATCAAGTGGATTAGTTGCAGGTGAGGAGACAAGGGTAAAGTTGGAGGTGCCAGAGCTCACTGAAATTGCAAATGAGATGTTATCTGCTATTTGAATGAGCTGAGTCTGTCTGCTTCCCAGGAATTTGGCTCAAAAGGAGTTCATAAAGAGGTGTTATCCCCAAAGTGGTATGCTAGGCCTGTAACCTAGGGAAGTTTCAATGGATTCCAGTCCTATGCTCCTTTGAAAGGAACTAGGTGTTTCTGATCTCTCTTAGTTTCCCTTCTATTCCCATCCTCCTACCATCTTTCCTTCTATTTGGTCTGGTGAACATCAACAGTAGAATGTTTTTTGCAGCTTTGTGTTCTAGATCTGAGTGTGTCACAAACTCATTGTTGACCTTGAAAAAGTCAATTAACGTCCCTGAGCTTTAGCTTCTTCAGCTGTACAACAAATAACTGGATGAGATGATGGTCAAGGTGCTTTACTAATCCTATGATTTTATTATTCTTTGACTAGACCCTAGTTAGAATACCTTAAGTTCAATACTTAATCCTCTAATAAGATGCATATATTAATCAATCACTTTTTCTTTAAAGATTGGGCTTAATTCTCTGGTATTAGGTAACTAAACACCTCATATTCATTAGTAGAGATATCCATTAGGTACCTGATCAAGCAGAATGCTTGATCAAGCAGAATGCTCACCTGTGGCTGAGAATCTTAGATTCCCTCTGGTATAATCCCTTGGGTTTAGTGAAGGTTAAAAGCCATCAGGTTTCATTTTCTAAGAGGACTGTGGTTCTAACATAGATGTTCAAGCACTTTGGAATATAATAGTGTAAACAGATGAAAACACACTGTTTGGTATTTTCTTCTAAGTGGTAAAAACATCTCCATGTCATAACATCATTATGGCTCCTCTCACTTATTGAGAGCTTACTATATGCTAGACACTGCTGCTAAACATCTATGATCTTGTTTAGTTCTCAAAATGTGGTGAAAGTGAAAGTTGCTTAGTCGTGTCTGACTCTTTGTGACCCCATGGACTGTAGCCTGCCAGGCTCCTCTGTCCATAGAATTCTCCAGCCAAGAATACTGGGGTGGGTAGCCATTCCCTTATCCAGGGGGTCTTCAAAACCCAGGGATTGAACCCAGGTCTCCCACATTGCAGGCAGATTCTTTACTGTCTGAGCCACTTTATAATTATTACTTTTGTTTTGAAATTATCATGTATATATGATTATCATAAATACATACAATATGTAGAAGAATTAGAAAGCAAATACCCTATACAAATTTCTTAGTTTAAAATATATAACTTTATCAGTCCTTAGATGTCCCTGTGTGCCCTCTCCACTGACATTCCCTTCTTACCTCTAAAAGCAACAACTATCCTGGATTTTGTGTAAATCATTACCTTGCTTTTCTTTAGTTTTCCATCCCTGTATGTATCCCTAGATTTAGTTGTTCTTGTTTTAGAACTTGATGGAAATGGATTCCTATAGAATGTATTCTTTTAGAATGTACTAGTTTCTCAATATCTTATTTTGAGGTTTATCACTATTGATGTGCAAAGCTATATTCATTGTTATTGTTGAATAATATCCCACTGGATGACTTTGCTACAATAATTTATTCTACTGTTGGTGGATATTTGAGTTGTTTTCATTTTATTTATTTTTTGGCATTATGAACAATGTGGCTTTGAATATTCTTATACATGCCTGGTGTGTCTAAGTATATATATACATATACATATACATGCACACGTATATGTGTGTATATGTGTATGTGTCTGTCTTAGAATGTATCTTAGAACACACTAGAAAACCAAGGCCCACAGTCACCAAACAACTCAGAGTGATAAAGGTCAGGGTGATGAGGACAAAGTATGAACCAGAAGTCTGTTGTCAGAGTTTGTGTCCTTAGCCACAACACTCTATGGATCCCCACTTTAAGGCCATGCAGAATTTAAATCACTTGCTCAAAAAGCAGAGACTCAACAAAGTTCAACCTAACTAATGCTTTTCATTATTTCTGTATCATCTAAAGCACATATGATTCATATGTGAAACTAACCAACCACAGATGAATGAAATTATATTGGGTTGGCCAAAAAGTTCATTTGGGTTTTGCTGTTACACTGTATGGAACAACCTGGATGAACTTTTTGGCCAACCCAATATTCAGCACCCTTACCTCTTCTTTACAAAGGATCAGATGTCAAAATGTAAAAATATAATTTCATATTATCCATATATATTTGACATGAAATTATTATAGTATTTTTCTTTTAAAAATATGAATAGAGATGAAAAGAAAAAGCAGGTTTTTTAGTGGAATAGTTCTCCCTCGCTGTCTCAGCCTGCCAAATCTCCTTAGCAATATGTGGCACTTGTAAACATTTAAGTTCACTGTCAGTTAAAGATATTCAAAAGTAGATGTTCTAGATAAGGGAGACATATATCTAATAAATGTTTATGATGTGACACTGACAGAATATAGGCTGCTATAATCATGAGAGCAGCAATAACTTAAAAGCTCTTTTATATGTGCAAAGCATTTGGGAAGGAGTATTTGGTGTCATGGGCAAAAACAACCAAGTAAGTACAGCAGCTGGTGACATGAAAGGAATCAAACTGTAAGCCCTGCTGAATCATCAGCGTCCTGGAGACACTTGAATAAGTTTCTTTGCTAGAGGTTTTTCCCACTACATGATGATAAATGTTCTCAAGGAAAAATGAAATGAAGTTTCTCCGTTCTGTGAGTCACATCTCTCTTGGTTGCAAATGACTGAACTCATCTTGAACTTGTTTAGGTAAAATGAGAAATGCTGATTCATGGAATGTCATGAAGACTTGAACAATCAAACCATGGGAACTTCAGGGATGCAGCTGGATGGTCCAGAAAAACTGAAATATCTGGTAGAAAACTTCTTGGGGCTTTTTTTTCCAAAGGTTCTTGTTTTTGTTTTTTTTTCTTTGTTGGTTCTTTCCTTTTTTTTGGGGTTTGTTTTTTTTTGCTTGGCAGGAACCCTTGTATCACACTTCCCGAGTTCTACGTCTTGCAACTTCTACTATGGGTGATGGATTAAATTACACTTTCTTCAGTGAAAAGTTAAAAATTCCAGGGGAGGGAGATTTGTTGCCTCAGCTGAGAGGTTTTGTCCATTTCTAGACCAGTTTACTGTTCTCTGGGGAAGGGAGGATGGAGTTATAGATGAACATGGACATTTTCTCAGAACCACTTGGTTTGACTTGGGGAAGAGCACTTCCAAAAGAACGGGAGTAAAATTTATAGAGAGAGGTACAGTGGACAGATAAAATAATAGTTTTTCACTAGTTTAAACAATCCCCATGATATTTTCAGTATTTTATAAAGAGGGTAAAAAATGCTCCCAAACCATGACAACAAATTTAATCCTATCATATTTTCTCTTTGAATTATTTTACATATAATCTACCTGAAATATTTTCAAACAAACAATCAACATGAGGAAATGGGTGTTCTGTCTTCTTGAAAATGAGTTCTGATGCAAAGAATTAACTTTCTGATTTATGCTCTCTAATTACACAAAACCCTGCAGCTATGAACATAGTAAGCAAGAAACTCCAAAGTAAAAAAAAAAAAAAAGTAGTTATTTTAAAAGGCTCCAGCCCACATATATCAACTCAACTATCCGTGTTTCTGAAAGCCAGTGAAATCTCTCTAAATTCTCAAATTGGCTTTTGGTCTTAATGTAGCATCAGATATGCAAATTAATAACTTCAGACCCTGATTATTCTTATCACCACTCCCACCATCCAGTCCTCTGAGAAGCAGGTGCTAAGATGAAATTAGACGTGCAAGGGATTTGCTGAAGGAGGCCTTGTGGGAGAAAATGGGGTGGGAGCTGGTGGCAGCTGGGACAGAGCACAATGCAGGACTGATCCCTGTGAAGGAGAGAGGCAGGGAAGGCAAGGAAGAAAGACCTGAGGAGTTCAATTCTGAGAAAGTTTTGGCAAGGCTATCTGGAGTCCGTAAGCTAAAGTTGCCCACCAGAGGAATCCTGCATCTTCCAGGAATGGGCCTGCCTTAGCAGCGCGGCTGTGCTTAGTCACGGCTGGGGGCAGCCACAGAAAGCATGGCCTCGGAACAAATGTGGTGATGAATTTCAGAGGGCAGTAGCTGGAACCATCAGTCTACTATGTTTCCTGCAGTGGCTACCATAATTACTATCCTGGCAATCCGTTTTCTGGTACATCCACGGGATAAGGTTCTCCTCTTTCATCCCTTCAAATGCTAGGTCACTGGAAGGCTAGTCATTCAAATTCATGTGGCATCTCTGACTGACTGAATACTTTCCATTCATCACATTTGACTTTATTTAAAAATACTTTTACTAATTAACCCAAATCACCATTGTCATCCTGATTGCTCCTTCTGTCTCCTTATAAATAATTTTGTAAGGCGTGCACCGTAGATCCCAAACCTCTAATCTTCGGTGAGCAACCAGAAGTGATTACAGATTCCTAACAAATACATCAGACAAAAAATTTCATTAGTATGAACTTGGATTTGGACCCCAAATTCTTTTGGGATTTCCTTAATGGGCAAAATGGACAACTGATCTGAGTCACAAGGACTCCTTTTTGCCCGTGGTCTGACACTGATGTGGGAGAAGACTTACATTCTATTGTCTATGATTCCTTTAGTTTGGTTTCTTCTTGTCTTTTTAAGGGGAGGGAAGAGCAGGAAAGCTGTCCCTTAGAGTGACTGTATATTGCACAAGTTAAAAAGAAGCACTATTAACATTGCCAGGACAACAATCATAACCAGGATTGTTCTGAGAAAATTGGATTAAAAGCTCACTCTAAGGTCTCTCTTCTCAAGAATGAAGGAGACTTGAACCTCTTATCTCACCAAGCACATGGTCAGAAAGAGAGCAGTGCAATACTTTAAGAGAAATGTCTGAAAAGAGAGATGCTATTAATAACTTCAGACCCTGATTATTCTTATCACCACTCCCACCATCCAGTCCTCTGAGAAGCAGGTGCTAAGATGAAATTAGACGTGCAAGGGATTTGCTGAAGGAGGCCTTGTGGGAGAAAATGGGGTGGGAGCTGGTGGCAGCTGGGACAGAGCACAATGCAGGACTGATCCCTGTGAAGGAGAGAGGCAGGGAAGGCAAGGAAGAAAGACCTGAGGAGTTCAATTCTGAGAAAGTTTTGGCAAGGCTATCTGGAGTCCGTAAGCTAAAGTTGCCCACCAGAGGAATCCTGCATCTTCCAGGAATGGGCCTGCCTTAGCAGCGCGGCTGTGCTTAGTCACGGCTGGGGGCAGCCACAGAAAGCATGGCCTCGGAACAAATGTGGTGATGAATTTCAGAGGGCAGTAGCTGGAACCATCAGTCTACTATGTTTCCTGCAGTGGCTACCATAATTACTATCCTGGCAATCCGTTTTCTGGTACATCCACGGGATAAGGTTCTCCTCTTTCATCCCTTCAAATGCTAGGTCACTGGAAGGCTAGTCATTCAAATTCATGTGGCATCTCTGACTGACTGAATACTTTCCATTCATCACATTTTACTTTATTTAAAAATACTTTTACTAATTAACCCAAATCACCATTGTCATCCTTATTGCTCCTTCTGTCTCCTTATAAATAATTTTGTAAGGCGTGCACCGTAGATCCCAAACCTCTAATCTTCGGTGAGCAACCAGAAGTGATTACAGATTCCTAACAAATACATCAGACAAAAAATTTCATTAGTATGAACTTGGATTTGGACCCCAAATTCTTTTGGGATTTCCTTAATGGGCAAAATGGACAACTGATCTGAGTCACGAGGACTCCTTTTTGCCCGTGGTCTGACACTGATGTGGGAGAAGACTTACATTCTATTGTCTATGATTCCTTTAGTTTGGTTTCTTCTTGTCTTTTTAAGGGGAGGGAAGAGCAGGAAAGCTGTCCCTTAGAGTGACTGTATATTGCACAAGTTAAAAAGAAGCACTATTAACATTGCCAGGACAACAATCATAACCAGGATTGTTCTGAGAAAATTGGATTAAAAGCTCACTCTAAGGTCTCTCTTCTCAAGAATGAAGGAGACTTGAACCTCTTATCTCACCAAGCACATGGTCAGAAAGAGAGCAGTGCAATACTTTAAGAGAAATGTCTGAAAAGAGAGATGCTGAAAGAAAGAATTTTCATAAATTTTTCCTTCTCAAGATATGACACTTCTTGGAACTCCCAGTTCACAGAGGTGATTTTGTTCCAGAGCTCTTCCTTGTTGGGGCAAAGAAGGGAAAAGTGGGTGGGTCATCAAGGGGTGGGTGGGGGTTGCGCTCCCTTCAAGGCTTTTCCAGTGTCATTTCTAAATGATTATCATCTTGGACCATATGTACTTGGGGATTCTTGGTTGTTTTCCAGGGTAAACAGGACACATCTTGAAAGGCACTTTTTTTCCCAGTAATTTGAGGAGAAAATTCTTTTATATTAAATCAAACCCAGATATATACTGGTGGATTAGAATGTGAAATTCATCTGGATAAATCATGAGACTTCAAAGATGTACCGTCCTTAGGGGCCACTTTATACTCCTGTTTAGATCTTTCTCTAAGTATTATTATTATTATTCCTCTAAGTATTACTATTCTAAGCTATTTTTTTCTTATCAGAGAAGTTTGAAAAGACCTACCCAAGAAATTAGAGTGTGTCTTCAACATTCTCTCAGCTCTTCTATCTCTTTCCAAAATTGGATGCTATTGGATAGTACCAGCTTCCTACTGTTTTGACAGCCATTTGAGGATATCATTGTAATTGATAATGCAGTCCAGATTATCCAATGTGTAACAAGACTCAAGGCAGCCAGAATGCCCCAGGATAGATGGAAATGGGTGGTAAGTAGGTGTGGAGATGAGCCACAGTTTAGTCCTTCAAGAGTATTTATTGAATGCCTGTGTACCAGCAGCTCTTTTGGAAAGTGTGACACAGCAGGGAACAAGCCAGATAAAGAGCTTCTTCTCAACAACATAAGAAACCCGAGAGAGAACAAATATTGATAAAAACTAATACATAAGAAAATCAAGCATTCCAATAGCTTTAACTGATGGGGTGAAAATAAAGCAGGAAAGTGTTCTAGCCTCTATGGTGTGGTATACAGTGACAGCTTCTCTGAGAGAGTGACATTTGATCTTAGACCTAAATAAAGAGAAATAAGCAGTCAGTCCTCCGATGAAAATGAGAGAAGAGCCATCCAGGAAGTAGCAATGGTGAGTGAGAAGAACGAGACGACTGGACCTGTTGGAGTGACAGAGAGGAAGCCTGCGTGTGGGGCACAGTGGATGAAGGGGAGCTTAGTTGTAGAGAAGGGCTGGGGCTCAATCTCACAGAAAACAGTTTGGCTAACATTCTAACTACATTGAGAACTTACTGGAAGGCCTTAGCTGGGGAATGTCATCTCTGTCCAAATTACCCAAATAGTAAAACCATCTCTTCCTGAATTACTTGGCAAAAAAGGATATTATGGCTATGGATATACAGGACAGTTAAGTGGAACATGGAAGAAGGGCCTCCAATTAAAATTGACCTCACTTCAACATGAGAGGAAGATGAAATGATAGCTAGCAATGTTTAAAGGATGTAAAGATGACTTTCAATAATGAATAAAATGTTAAATTTTATTATGGAGAAGAATGTTATGTATGTTATACAATCCAAAAGGAGTTCTCATTCAGAATAACTGGAAAAAAGTCTAGGATGTTTACAACAATGAGCCTTTTAAGATAAATGGAAAATTCACATATCTAGAGCCTGACTTCTAAAGAGCTCAGACTTCATTGTATATAATATGTTAGGAAATTTTGTTTATTTATAATTTAACCTGCTTGAGTCAAAATCACAAGGAAGTTTAAGGAATCTGAGTAACATTTAAAATGAC